AGTAACAAAATAAGTCAACCAGCATTTATTGCATTATATTTTCGACAGTTTTTTAATTTTCTTTTTTAAATTATTCCCAAAAAATTGATTAACTATATATGCACCCTAAATTCATGTGTTTGTGGATTTAATTTATGTAAATTTTGACTGATGCTTACAAATTTGCACAAGTCAAAATTCTTTATCCTTTTTTATTAAAAAAATTTGATTACCATAAAATCGAGAATTTTGAATTAGGCAAAATACTATTTTATATATCTTTTCCTAATTGCAACAGATCAATTCTTTATTAGAAAAATCGAATTGCATAGAAATCGGGTTAATATAGGTAAAATTCGGCATGACAATTTTGTAAAAATCAAAATTCTCTCATTTTTTATTAAAAAAAAAAATATATGTTTACCATAAAATCGGGAATTTCAAATTAGGAAAAATACTGTAACATGTATGTTTACCTAATTGCAACAGGTCATGTTTATTAAAAAAATAAAATCGGATTGCATAGAAATTGGGCCCAATTTCAAATTGAAAGTTCAAATTTAAAAATTTCATTTCATTTGGCTACTACTTTCTTTAGTTCAGATTTTTTTTGAAACATAAAACATGTCAGATTATATTAATTTGAAATTCAAAATAAAATCAGATTGGAACATCTTACAATTTGGGTTTTGTTTAATTTTATAGAATACAAATTTGAAAATTGATTGCATACACGTACACAAATTTTCCTTCCTTAAATTAACTAAATTACAATTTTAAAATAATAAGGTTATAGATTATCAAGAAAGACGTTTTACAATCTCCGTTATATTTGGATATGCAATCTTCATAAAACCAATATAAATCATATCATATATATCTTGCTAAATAATTTAATTTGTTTATAAATAATATCATATAAATAGGTGTCAAGTGTTTATTTTTTTAGATACAGTTTACACAGAGGTAAGTTGTTTTCTGTATTATTTGTTTTATGTTTAATAATATATAAGTTACATTTTGTTTTATTTCATGCGTTTTACGTTCTTCTAATGATCCAAGTATAAATGCCCACCTTAATAAAATTAGCTTGTGCATCGCACGAGTACCGCACTAATATATTTTATATATGAAATATTAAATAATAAATATTTGAATGACTTCATCACATTCCCATTGTATTAGTTACGGGTGAAGAAAAAAATCGATTTTTTCATACTGAACCGAACTGAACTGAAGCAATCCCACTTCGAAAAGTATAGTATTCAAAGTTTTTTTGTGGTAGTATTTCTAGTACAAAACCATTAAATACAATGTCGATGTCGTTTTATTTATTTATTTTTATGTGGATATCATTTCTAATATATTTTATACGGATAGTCTGTTTAGCTACATGACTACCAAATATATAAGAATAAATTTGTACATTGAATCCATTAAGGCAATGATCATAGTCAAGTCAAAATATAGTATATAACATTCAAACATGCTATGGCAATATTGCAATAAGTGGACATATTGTGATCAAATATATACATTTGACCACTCATTAAAGTTTTAAATTTTAGCGATATTCGAAAAATTAAAATATCGAACCAATTTTGTACGGTTTAAAAAATTAAATGAAAAATGCTACGGTCCCATTACGGTACCATCCCGTCGGGTGTTTTAACCGATGGATCATCTATCTTATCTAACTAAATATGGATCCAACGGTTAAAACACCCGACGGGATGACATCGTAACGGGACTGTAGCATTCCCCTAAAGTTTAGTGATATTTGAAATTCAATACGATTTCGAAAATTTCTCAATCTTTAAATCGTATCAACCATACTCGCCCTTATTCCAGAAAAGGCGATGAGAAGCACAAATTAATATAATATTTTCTAACTTATAATATTCGAAATAAATCCAAACTAATATAATTTATATTTCTTAATCATATGCAATCATATTTATTTAATTAATAAAACTAAAACTTTTTTTTTTTCAAAATATTCGAAATAAATCCAAACTAATATAATTTATATTTCTTAATCATATGCAATCATATTTATTTAATTAATAAAACTAAAACTTTTTTTTTTTCAAAAAACACTAGACTCAAAAC